TACAACTCCACACTTGCAGCATTCCGGAGAAACACAGTTTCTCCCCCACTTGAATCATTCCCACTTCTGTAAACCAAGGCTAGACAACAAACATGTACCGGTAGTGTTTCACACACATGCCGCATACCAGGGATTAAATGACAACATTAGATAACTTGGCCGGACGGATCGACCTGCTCTGATACCACTATTGTAACACCCCATTTCTACCCAACGCATAATTAAAAATAAATCAAAATCAGAGTGCACGAAATTTGTACGCATGACGGTTGTCATGGACTTGTGACGATCGTCACACAGACAAAAACCTGGGCGTCACATTTTCAGTTAACAGCAACATGCATTTTTCAATTTAACTAGACAACATGCATTCAGTAATGATACATAGCACAGGAACTTGGATGAACATACAGCAACTTGCTTAACATATCGATTTCTCAACATTTTATTACTTTGTAGCGGAATATAAAACACTTCCAACATTCATGATGATTAAAGTAAAATCATAAATTTTCAACAAAACTCCACTAAAATTCAGCAAGTAGTCATCTTGCATATATTCATTAAAACAACTAGTTTTCCATCAAAATTCAGCACTACCGATTCTCCGACTTAGTGCATACAACCAACATTTAGTATTCGACAATAACAACCAATCTAGTGAAGAATATTCCATAAAATTCAGCAACAATAAAACAACTAAACCAAAACATTAAACGTTCATCCCCCCAAGAGTGCTATGTATCAGAGCAAGAACCTCTAAGTTAACCACAAAGGCTAACGACTCTTAAACTTTGAAGATCCTCAACGGCTTCCACAGCTACAACTGGTAACTGTGCATTACCCACGTGGAGGTAATATTCAAACAGGCGGGGTGAGTAAAACAGTTCATAATAATAAATGTATAACAATTAGTGCATAAATGGCACATTACTCATAATTATTATTCAACATAATCATATTACTCATAATCAACACAACCATATTACTCATAATCAACACAACCAAATTACTCATAATCAAAAAGACTTCTCAATGCAACTCGACAATGAGACTCAATCAATGCAACTCAACTATGCATATGCATGTGGTACCATTTCGGAGCAAAACTCCGCACCCAAATTATTTTCCATTAAAGGCCGCCAATACAGGCCATCGCAGAATTTGCCACTAAGGGCCGCCAATACAGGCCATCGCAGAATTTGCCACTAAGGGCCGCCAATACAGGCCATCGCAAAATTTGCCACTAAGGGCCGCCAATACAGGCCATCGCAAATATGATATGCTATGAGACGCAACTATTATGGACCACAACACAACAACATCAACTGTGCAACAAGGCATCAAGCCTACAACCAACTATCCATAACAGAAACATCACCATTTCGCACATATCATGTACTCACCATTTCAACCTGTTCATATCAGAGAACAAATAACAACATCGTTTCAACCAATAAGACTCACAACAAGTTAAGTAATTACAATTTTAATTTAATCATGTAATCTCACTGTCATAATCATGCTATCACATAGCTCATCAATTCATAGTAATTTCATCATATTAATTCGATCAATACATCATAAAACTCATCGTAATCAAAACATCACTGAACTAGAACATGATTCGTTACTAGAACACATATACAACTGACTTCTCAACCATAATTAGATATAAAAATATTGAGAAAACAAATCTATTATCTATCCTATGTTATAGCTCTGTTCGTTAGCTTTTCAACGCTTCGAACGGGGTCAAAACGGACTTACGGATCCAAAGTTACGTCCAAAACAATTTCAACTGAAAACATGAAAATTTGTGACGGACAGGAAGACGCTGCTACGCTCCGGAACTGATTTTCACCCAATAATTCTTACGGATCACTCACTCAACATGCCCAAAACATCACTAAAACATTCCTTAGGTTATACATCAATAACAACGCAACTTCTATGGTTTATTAGGCTCATCTGACAACATTTGCAACGCCTAAAACACTATTCCCTGCAATTGCTCTGAGTAGTTCAGAGTTACTCACACCTTCAAGATCAGACCTAACAATGTCAAGTTCTTGGCCACAAAGGCCTAAGGTTTCCTTCTCAGTTTAATATTCAGTGATACATACTATTTTTCCCAAATTGCTCTGAGTAAATCAGAGTTACTCAAAGAGAACATCTATATTCCTACAAGGTCAGAACATCACATTCTCAAAGCTTTGGCCACAAGGCCTAAGGTTTCCCTTCTCATTTTAATATTCAGTGACACATACTATTTGGCCATTTGGTCATAATCTCAGGTTCTTACGGTAAACTCTTATTTCCCGCAATTAACCCAAATCCCAAATAACCAATCTACCACAATACACCAAAAATCATACATAGAAAACTATGAAAGGCAATACTCCCCATACCTTAGCCGATTCAAAGCTTTCACGGTTTACTCCGGCAATTTTCCAAAGCTTTTGCCTCCATTCTCTTAACATGTTTTCTTCTTTTCTCCCACAACCTCTCTCATAACTCCCTCATTCCACTTATTCCATCCACTAATATTATAATTAATAATAATAATAATATTAATATTAATACTAATTATTAAATTATTATCATTATTAATTATATTGTATTATTATTACGCTTTATATTATATTAAATGATTTCCTATACTTTAAGGACAACCACCAACACCCTCACGCATGCTCTCACATAAGGCACCCCAACCAATTCACAACATAACACCCAAAAACTAATTAATTAAAAGTGGGTGTTACAATAGTGACATGTTGAAAGCAAAAAGAGGACTAATGAGTCCATGAACCATTTGTTTTTTTGCATGTGCAGGTTTTTGCTCCGTGTGGAGAGAGGTTTTTGGCCAGCTGAACATCAGATGCATGCGTGCTAGCTGAGAGATTGAGAAAAGACGGTTAAATAATGAAGCTAATAAGAAGGGGAGGAAAACTAAAGTCCTCAAATTGATAAGTGCAGAGACAATTATGAATTGTGGAGAAGTAGAAATAACAAAGTATTCAATCACAAGGAGATGGATTCCATATTAGTTGATCAAATTATACATATCATTGTAACTAGAAGTAGTATGCATAAAGATCTGGTTAATCATATAACTAAAATCACTTGTAGGGATTAACAATCCCTTGTAATTTGTTTTGAAATTAATGCTTTATTCCAAAAATAAAAATAAAAATATAAACCATTTTTTGAGTGTCATGTTTTTTAAATACATGTCTATTAATTTTTTTTTGAATATATTTGAATTAACTAACTAATTTTTAAATTAATAATACTAAGAGTCATGTTAACCCGTGTCCTTAACATTGGTTAAGAATTTCAAATAAAAAAATATATTATTAATAAAAATAGATTTATCAATAATATGAATTGAGAAAATTATTTTGATAATATGATAATAATTATAAAACCACTTTATTATAGTAGAGATAGTATAAAATTGAATTAGAGGTGGTAGAAGAGTTATTAAAACAAAAAAGTAAAGTTATTGGATAAATAATAATAAGTGAATAAATAAATATAAAAATACAAAATGACAATGATTTAACAATTTATATATATAAAATAAATTTAAAATATAATTTAAATAAATAATTTATAATATAATGATATATTTACTACTATCTTTTATTTAGGTTCAAACTTTTTAAAACAAAAAATAAATAATTTAATAGTTTGTATGCGTTGAAAAGATAACAATATATAATGATTGGTTAGTTTTATTTTGTTACTGGATAGTGGTTTTATTTTGTTGAATTAATTTAAATTGGTTAGGATTAGCTTTTTATTTAATATAGGTTTATTTATATATTTTATTATTGTTTTATCGTAGAAAAATGGTAGAAATCGCTATAATTATGGAAAGAAATTCGAAGAGAAAACTAGGTGTGTTTTTTTTTAAAACTATTTTAATTAATTATTAATTATTATTGAATAATTATGAATTATGAAAAATAATTGTATTAGTGATGCTATGATTTAGTGGAATAAAAAGTTAATGGGATGAAAATTATTTAAAGTTACTTATTAATTATTAAAGTAATTGAATTAATGAATAAATTAATAAATAAATTAAAAATAGTTTTGGTAGGAAATTTATAAGAGAGACGATTATAATTTAGTGTCATATGATTTCATTACCTTTAAAAAAAATTTAAATTCCAATTTTTATCATAAAGTTAAGAAGTATACTAACTTTTGGCATAGTTCCACGATTTACTATAGAAATTCTTTTATTTACATTTTTTTAAATGAAATAATTGGATTTAATTTTGATCTTAAATTTTATTTACTTCAGGTTAAATTAATTTCTTTACATTTTTTAATTAAATAATTAAAATTTAATATGGTTTGAATATTAAATAAAATCAATTATAAATGGAATCTCTATCATTAAATAAAATATCTATTAACAAATCAAATTTAAATAGTTTTATAAAAGATTTGAATTTAAAATTTAAAAAATTAAATTAAAAATGTTAAAAGATAAATCTAAAAACATAAAAACACTCTTTATAAATTCATCGTAAAGAAATATTATTTGACATTCTCCCCACCCTTTCCCATCTACTGAGCGTCTCATTCGCCACCATCGCCACCATCGCCACCATCGCCACCATCGCCACCATCGCCACCGTCATATCTCAACGGCTACTCCGTCTGTCACCGTCTTTCAACTCGGTAAGAAACCTTTTTCTTCATGCTCTCTCTCATTCTCTAGCACAATCGATTTTTTCGCCTCTTTCTTATACTAATTGAAACCAAATGAGCTTCTCCTTCTGTATCATCAAACCATTTTATGATTTATCTGTGATGGTTATTTACGAAGTTTTTTTTAGGGCAAACGATAGGGAAAGATTTTCTAATGGGTTGATTAGGGTTTTTTTTTGAATCGTGCTTTCTACATATAAATATTTGTGATACTGATTGGTGGTTTTTTAATTTGTGAAGTAATTTGAATCTCAGGTTAAGAAAAAATGGGGGAGAGGAAGGTTTTGAACAAATACTATCCTCCTGATTTTGATCCGGCCAAGCTTCCTAGAGTAAGAAGACCTAAAAATTTACAGATAAAAGTTCGGATGATGCTTCCCATGAGTATTAGATGCAATACCTGTGGGAATTACATTTATAAAGGAACAAAATTTAACTCAAGAAAGGAAGATGTTATCGGCGAGGTAAACTTATTATTTCTTAATATTTTTAACTTGTTCAATTTTGTTTGGATGGTTAATATTTAGTAGTTGTATTCCTGTGTGTACTCTGATGTTGATTTTAGGGAAGCATGCTAAATTGTGTGTTTTTTATATTGATATTAAATCATGTTTTTGGTTTTTAGTTTAAGGTGAGTTGAATGTGAAAGTAAGTATTTGAAGTGGTTTATGTTTGAATGCTTCCTCCTCATATTAAGTGGTGTTTTTGGTTTTGCAATGGTAAAAATGGATTTTAGTGTAAGGTGAGTTGAATGTGAAAATAAGTTGAATAATGAATTTTAAGTGGTTTATGATTGAATGCTCCCTCCTCATATTAAATCATTTTTTTGGTTTTGCAATGGTAAAAATTGATTTTAGTTTAAGGTGACTTGAATGTGAAAGTAAGATGAACAATGAAGGTTTAAGTAAGTTGAACAACAATTTTGAGTCTAAAGATCACATTTGGCATCAAAAGCTAAGCATCAAATCTACTTATATCCTTATTTCTTGTAACTATACCCACTTAACTACACCACTGACTATTACGTATAATGGTACTTTAGTAAATGAAAGTCATTTTTTCATAGAAATTACGTACATTCAATTATTTTCTTAAGAAGTGGGCATAGGATGGAGTATGATTTTATGAGTTTCTTAGTTCTTTATGTGTGAGTTGGTTTTGATCATGATATTGACTTTGAATTTATTTTATTTGATTTTTTTTTGTGCAGACATATCTAGGAATCCAAATTTTCAGATTCTATTTTAAATGCACCCGGTGCTCTGCCGAACTTACTATGAAGACTGATCCGCAGAATTCAGATTATATTGTCGAGTCTGGTGCGACTCGAAATTTTGAACCTTGGCGGGCAGAGGATGAGGAAACTGATGAAGTGAGGAAGAAAAGGGAAGCTGAAGAAATGGGAGATGCTATGAAGTCCCTAGAGAATAGAACCTTGGATTCTAAAAGAGAGATGGACATCCTTGCTGCACTGGATGAAATGAAGTCAATGAAGGTATAACATTAATGCATCTTGCAACATGTTTGATTGGAAGCTTGTATGTCCATAAATGATTCTATATGGATCTGGGTATTTAATTTAAAAATATTGCGCACGTTGCCTACAAAATATGATATTTGGGATCATTTGTTCTTATAAAACATTACATTTGTTTCTTAATCTGAAGGCTATCTACTGTATTAATTGCTGACGAGAATCTCTTTTGTTTTTCAGTCCAGGCATGCAACTGTCAGTGTTGATGAAATGCTTGCAGCCTTGCAACGGACAGCAGCAGACAAGGTATGGTTAAGCTTGCTATATATTTTTATTTGTTTTGTATGAGAAATATCTTGTTTGAAGGAATGTGTTATTGATTATAAGTTGAAACTCTTAAAACCTGTTTGACATTTAATTGGTTGGTACTGGTAGCTATGATTTACATTCAAATTCCCCACACTAAACAGATATTAAATGTCCAACCGATCCATTTCTGTAACTATTATAAGTTTACTAACTTCTGTGCTGGTCCTTGTAGCTTCTAATACAGAAAACTGGCCCTCAATGAAAACTTAGGCAGCAAACTCTAGTTTATGCCATTTAGTGGATAACCTCGAACCTTAGCCTCATAAAACAGTCCGCATAAAAACCGTTATTCTAATTGTTTTGAGTTTCAGGCTATGACTTAAATTGAGCATGTAATTGTATGTGCATTCTTTAGTTCTTACTTTTCAGTTCCCCCTGCCCCAGATGATTTGACTGAAGCCTTGTTTTTTGTTCTTAGGAGAAAAGAATTGAAGAAGAAGATGAAGCCCTTATAAAATCAATTTTCTCTAATGTGAGTATTTCTGTCCTATACTCCCAGTTCTCCTTCTTAGTCTAACTACTTTCAATGCCTATTTATTTTTTTCTTATTGAAATTAATCTATGTAGTTTTCTTTGTGCTGTCTTAAACAGAGTTCAGAAGTTTCGATCAGCCGAATTCGCGATGAAGATTTTGAAACTGAGGAGGAATTGTTTCAGTTTTCAAGTGGACATGACGAAGCATCCAATAATAATCCTAAGGTACCAAGATGTGGAGCAGTAATAAATTTTCTTGAATATCTTTTTGGGCTGATAAATTATCATTATTCAGAATCTTGCTTTGAATCATTTTCATCCCACCCTCAACTGTTGAAATCAACTTAAATCTTCAGCCTTTGTAACTTCTCTTTGAACTAAGTTTGATATCTCACATTTTTAGTAAACTTTTAAATCTTCAAAACATTTTGAATTACATGCTTTAGTATAATTTTCTTGTTAGGTTCTGTAAAGATTCTTTTTTTTAATCTTCTCTTAATGCTAGAAAATAAAATAACATGGACTTATGAAACACAAACAAAACATGATCTGGAATTTGCATTTCTGGACTGTGTTAAATTATTTATATTTAAAGGATGTCTATATTTTTGCTTATATTAACTGCACTCTTAAAACTTTAAATAGGGTAGAAAAATATTGTGCAATTGCATATAAAAAGATTATCAGCAAATATATAGTTAGAGTTTTGGATTTGCAAAAATCAGCATTTGTTAAGATGTCCCATTTCTAATATTCTTAGGATGTTGAAAAATAATAGTTGTTTAATCTTTACTTTTTGTATCTGTGCAGAGGCAAAAAATATCTGAAGATGATCTTCCAGGAAAAGCAACTGACACATTGACAAAAGCCAGTTTGGATGACTCCGGCAAAGAAGGTATATGACATTTTTGGGCATGTTTTGATGCTAGTTAGACAAAACTGATGTTCTTAGTTTGCCTGGTAGTTAAGTCATTTTCTTGATACTTGATTGATTTGTAGAAAAGATTTGTAGAAAAGAGGGGGGTTAGGGGTACATTTGCCCACCAAGCATTGTTTAATTTTGATTCAAGTGTACTGCTATGGTCTATGTTTTTGCTGGATGGAGTTTTTATGATACCGTCAATACGAGACACATTATTTTTCTAACACACTATCTCATGTTTATGCAGAAAAAGTGAGCAGCAGTCGAGGAAAGCCTAATCCATTGGTGACTATTTCTGTTATTAAGAAACCAAAGACCACTAATGTCAAAAGCCCTGCAGAACCCAAAGAAATGGAAAAAAAGGAAGATGATACAACAAATGCTACTACTGGACTACTTTCTTTATTCCAAAGTTATGGAAGCGACGATGATTAGTTGGCATTAATTTTTGGAAGGCTATATATTCAAAAGTTTCTTCCAACAGATCTTAAAATACTAAGATTTAGAATATATATATATATATATATATATATTCTTCAATTTCAAATTCTTGCAGAATTTCCTGCTGTAAAAGTATATATTTTTTTGACTATTTTATCCCTCCTGGATTTTGACTATTTTTTCTCTAGTGATACCCGGGTAGAATTTTCTTTTTCCTTGGTAAGATTCATACTCACAAAAAAGGTACATTTTTTAACAGAAAGAGATGAAACATAAACTATACTAACAAAAATGCCAACATTTATTGTTGGTATATATCATTCATTTATTCTTTTGAATAGCTAGCATTCAACTTCATTTTTTTTTCTCTTGCCGAAGAACCTGAACTCTTAAGACAGAGAGATATCACCCCTAACAGAGAAAGCCAAAGATCTGATTCACTAGCAAAGTAAAGCAGCAGCCTTGATCAACTATAGGAAAGTATAGTTTTATACAAATTTTGATAGAACCTAAGATTGAGAAAGCTTGAGAAAGCCTTTTGTACAGACAGGTTTTTTTGAAGATTCTCTTACGGGGAAAAGGCATCGAATAAGGCGCTAAAAGATCACAGGCTTGTTAGCGTGGATAGACTAACGACAAGTGAGATAAAGAAAGTAGCTGGCCTTATGTGTAAAACCTTGTCGCGAGAGAGCTTTTTCTTTTTTGTGAGTGAAGTTCCTATCCTTTTAACCAAAACTCGGTTTTATCACGGAGTAACCAAAAACCTATGAGATTTACTATCTAGCAAAGTTGTTCACGGGTTTAACTTCGAACTCAAAAAACAATCCCTAAATGGATTAAATATTCAATCAAGGTAAAAACAAAACTTCTTTGGTGAACTTACAAATTTACCTATCCAGAACTATAACTTCCTCACTCGCAAAATGGCTTTCTCAAAAAGCAATACGGCTAAACTTTTAGCGAAAGAAAGTAAAGAAAAATAATTTATATAGAGAGATTGAGAAGTGAAAAATGAAATCACGTTTTTTGGATATGAAATGTGGGAAAAGACCTTTATTTATAGGCTAAACGTTGACACGAAAAAAAGAATTAATTGCATGGCCAATAATGATGAGCCAATCGACTGACACAAATCTTCAATGTAAGCCTAAAATTAATCGATTATAAGTTCAAAAATGAAAAACAAGATATTTAGCCATTATACCAATCGATTAGGGCGCATTTTTGAACTGATTCAATCGATTTCTATAAGGTGTCAATCGGTTGGCAAGAGGAAAAACTCATCCGTATATTTTTTCCAATTGTTCCGAACTTGTCTGGTATGACTTCAAAGCATGTTTAAAAGTATTTTCTTGAAAAAAATGAGTTTAAAAACTCGCGCGCGTGTGTGTGTGTGTGTGTGTGTGTGTGTGTGTGTTTGTTTATGATTAGCTATGCACTTTATGAGAACACCATTATGCTTTTACAATATATTCACTTAGACGTGTTGAGGCATGCTTTCAAGACTTGTCAGATGCTTTATTTTTATATACACTTGCTTGAGTTTACTTTGAGATGGTGCTTGAATCATATTTCATTTGGTTTCCATCATTAGAGAGTCAAATAAATCAAACCTTAATAATCTAATTTGTATTTTACTTTAGTTGTTATTATCAAGAACTGATTGTCATCATTAAATACTAGTTGACATCATCAAAAGTAGTTGTCCTCATTAAATGCATATCTCTTAGAAGTAACCTGCAAAACAAGGTTCCACAAGAAGACACTTCTATTCCGCTAGAGAACCAACTTTAATTAAAGATTAAAGGTTGCGAGATGCAACACTGGACTTAAGCTTTCAGTACAGTAACTCAAGTCTGTGTGTGAGTAAGATGAGTAAATGATGTTTGAATTTGAATTGTACTTGGAAAATGATGAGCTTCCTTCTTATATAAATAGAGACTTGATCACATAATCTCCATACCAAATTTTTTTATGGGTTTAGTTTCGAATCCAAACAAACAATCTCTAAATGGATTAAATGTAAAAACAAAGTAAAAACAAAACTTTCTTGGTGAACTTACAAATATACCCTTCCAGAATTACAACTTCCTCACTCGTAAAATGACTTTCTCGAAAATCACTACGGCTAAACTTTTAGTGACAAAAAGTAAACAATTTGTTTTAGAGAGAGAGTGATAAGTCATAAATGAAATCATATTTTCTATATATGAAAATATGTGGGAAGGGACCTTTATTTATAGGTTAGAGGTTGACACGAAAAAGAAATTAATTTTATGGCCAATAATGATGAGCCAATGACACAAAGTTCCAATCAATTGGTAAGGCTAAAATTAATCGATTATTGAGTTAGAAAAAGAAAGAAAATATATTTAGCCATTACCATTCATTAAGGCACTATCCCAAACGATTAGGGCGCATTTTTGAACTGATCCCATCAATTTTCATAAGGTGTCAATCAATTGGCAAGAGCATAAACTTGCTCATATATTTTCTGATAGTTCCTAACTTGTCTGGCATGATTCAAAATATTTTTAAAAGTATTTTCTAAAGAAAAATGAGTTTAAAAACTTGTTTATATGTTTGTGATATTAGCCATGCACTTTATGAAAATGCCTTTATGCTTTTACAATTTATTCACTTAGATGTGTGTCGAGGTATGTTTTAGACTTGTGAGATGCTTCATTTTTATATACACCTGCTTAAGTTTAATTTGAGATGAGACTTGAATTATTTTCCATTTGATTGTTATCATCAAAGTGTCAAGTCCATTAAACCTTAATAATATGGTTTGCTAACTACTTTAACCGCATTATACTTAACTATAGTTGTTATCAAAGATTAGCTGTCTTTATTAAAAATTAATTATCATCATCAAAAGTAATTGTCCTTATTAAACACATATAACGCAGAAGTAATCGCTTAGAGCAACTTTAGCGCATAGTTGTTAAACCAAAATTTTGTATAGCTTACGTTAGTAATAAAGAATTTGCATTATAGTAGAGCTGACATGACATTTAATGAACTAAAGTTTAGTTTCCATTATCTATATAACTTATTTACTATTCTAAGTTTTTAAGGTAAATAATTAAATTAATTGTATGTATTTTAATTAAAATAATTAAATTAATAGTAATTTGAATAAAAAATATAAAATGTGGGGTCAAGTTTTAGTTTTTTATAGACAACAATCATTAGAGTAAAAACTACTCAAATCAACTATAAATTTTTTAAATCCTAGTCATGGATGGTTAATGTCCAAAACCAATCTATAACCATAAATAATCCATATATTACAACCGGTTATTAAAACCAATTCTCATAACTAGTTTTTATCTTTTTAAATGGTTATAAACCGGTTATATCCATAACCAATTTCATAATTAGTTTTAATTTTATTTTATTTTAAAATTGATTTTTTCAAAATCATAATATTGTTAAAATAACTATTGTTTTTTTTTAATTCATAATTTTTGGTCTCTAAATATTCAAAATCATAATTACTATTATTTAAATTCATAATTACTATTGTTAAAATTCATGAAAGAAAAGTTCATTCAATTCCTTCATTATTAAATGAAAAATTAGTTAATTGAATGGATTCAATTTAACTATTAATATATATCATTTCATTTAATTCATCTCCATATTTAAAAAATATCAGTTTAGTTTTATATTTTAAATTTATTAAACCAATTTAACAATTAAATAATAATATTGGTTACAGTTACTCCAATCTATCTATTTTTTCTTTCTTATATAATTCGTTGATTTGTAATTAGAAATATGTGTTATTAAAAAATGATAATTATTTAATATTTAAGTATGATTTATGTATATAAATTACAATAAAAAAAATAAATTGTTGTTGTCGTTTGAACAGTTATTGGATTAAATTAAAATTCTTATTTGAGATGATTAAAATCTATAAAATAAAATAAAAAGAATATGATCTAAATTTACATTGATTGAATTAAACGGAAAGTCTATTTTGATTGTAGATATGATATTTTTTCTTTTTGTAGTCATTTAGTTTGTGTGAACTGAAGGACTAATTTAAATAAAGAAAGACAAAGTAAATTAGAATTTTAATTACTATTGTTATTTTAACAATATTATGAATTTAAAAATTATGAATTTCAAAATCATAATATTCAAAATCATAATTTTTGGTTATGAATTTTAAACAATAGTTATTTTAAAATTCATAAAATTTTTATTTACTGAAAAAATTTATTTTTTTTTCAAAATAAAAATATCTTTTTTTTGAAAAAGAATTTCAAAGTTTTTTTTAATTAAAAAAATTTGACTAATTTGGTTTTTATTTTGGATATGGATGTCCAAATTATGAATTTGGTTAAAACCATATTAAAAATATATCCAAAATGTGGATTTGATTAAAACCATACTAATAATTAACCGGTTTTTAATAACCGGATTTGGATATGTATATGGATTATTTAAATAACCAGTTTATTTGAACACCCATATATATATTGGGTGATTGTGAAGCTGCATGGTGTGCCGTTGAG